GCAACAGTTGCTAGGCACGCGCTAGCCACTCGGCTCCGGCTGCGGTGTGAGGGGAGCCCTTGGCGGGGGATTTTTCAGGTAAATTCCGGACTCCGCGGGCGTGAAAGTTGTATTTTCAGGGGCCGCGAAGCAGGGCACGGCGCTGCGGCTTCGGGGAGCTGCCCGCAGGCGGCCGGAGGAGCGGGGCGGTGCGCTGCCCCCGGGCGAGCGGGGTCTCCTCGTTGCCGAGAGCTGCTCTGGGCACTCGAGGAAACGGGTGTTTTTATTCCCTGTTCCTAACATTTATGGAAGTACTCAAAGGGGAGAAAATGTTGCAGTTTTGTGATGAGACCCTCTCTTGCGTTTTACTCCAATAATTTGTTTGTCTCTCCAGGCATGTTGTTTCTTTTCCTGTACTGAACCTGTAATTTTTTGGGGGCGGAATCCTGTCTTTATGCAACACTTAATTATGATCAGTTATTATTTAAGTGATACTGTATTGTAAAAACATTTTTGTGCAATTCCAAATTAATATGTGTAATTATGCTAGACATTAGAACACAATTATTTTAATTTGGTTTATATACATGCATAGTTGTTATCACATACTAGCTAGCTGCCCTTATCATACTTGCTGAAAATAACTGATCAATTTAAGCACTATATAACATGGGGAGAAAAAAAAGAAGATGATTTTCTGCTCCTTAGAGCTTGGAATCAAAGTAGAAAAAGATGCAGATAATCAGATCCAAGGTACAGGGAGACAGGAAGTGTCCAATTTGAAGACCTCGCTTCATCAGTTACAGACTTACTGGAAAAGATTCAGATTAGTATAGTAATATAATCAGAGGCCCAGAAAATGCAGTTAGTAAGGACAAAGAATGGGATTTATTTTGGCCACAGAGAAAGAAAAGGGTTTCATTCCATTAGATACACTGAGTTGGTTAACATCTTCCCTCTGAAAAAAGTAGTGTCCTTCACTATCTTCTTTATCCCCATCGCACTTGCTTAAAATACTGTGTTTAAAGAAAAATAGAGAATGTAATAGGCAAAAATGGGCAATTTTTCTTTAAGCAGTCTTTCTGACTTGTTCTGCTTTGTAGAAGCAGTAGAGTTGTACATACTCTTTGTACAAAATATATCTCATATATAACCATACTTCTGTCAGTAAACCTCTGTCAAGAACACTTTGTGTGTGCTGCCACAGCTTCTGATTTGACAGCTGGAGAATGGGAAAAAATTCATGGTGAACTGATGGTACGGTATAACTCTAATTTATAATGGTCAGTAATATAATCACATCGATGTACCAGTCGTCTTCTTGTGCCTTTTTTGTGGCAATAGGTCTGCTTGCATAACAGAGTAGTACTTCGAGCATGAGCAGGGTTATTCCTTAAATTAGCATTGCTTCAAAATGTAAGTGCCTACAGAATCACTACATTTTTTTCCTTTTAATATTTAGTTATGGGTGATGAGCCAGTACCATTTTTTCTGGACCAAGGAACCACTAAAACATATCAAATACCTATTGGTCATCTGGACTACAAGTTCATTGAAAAATGCACAGATGTTAAACACCTGGAAAAGATTCTCAGGGTATTAAGGTAAACATTACATTTTCTTAACTTCATTACTAATTATATTGCTGTTCTGTAAAATTCGAAGGAACCTGTACCTTAATACTCTTATTTGTCTCGAACCTCTTTGTGACATTCTAATTTAAAAACTAAAACACAAAGTTAAAGTAACCATGTTAAGTGTCCAAATGATAATGCTAGAAATCCTATTTTAACCATCCAAAGGTTTGAGTAACTCAATGCCAGTTTTTTCTCAAATGCTGCTGCTGGATTTTGGTTCTGTCATGAAGCCATTTTGCCTGACTGTGCTAATTTCAGATGCCATGCCTGTTTAACTTTTGCTGAAAATGACACAAGCATTTTTTTATGAGCACTGTGATTATAATTTTGAACTGTGTATGTGTGTCCATCGGAAAGTGGTTGAAGGTTAACTCACTATAATTTTCTGATCAAAATGTGATTAGGTGACAGTAAACTTCAGTTGTAACAGGAAAATAGTCCTCTGCAGTGACTGCATAGAGACTCCACATGTAAAGAAATATGGAGGATGCAGTGCAGTTCAGTTCTTTCTTATCACCTTTGTATCTTTGCATTTTGAAGGTCTGGTGAAGAGGGATGTTATCCTGAACTTACGTTGTTTTGTGAAAAACGTATCGAGCATTTAGATCCAAGGAGCAGAGCCCTGAGAAAAGATAAGCCTGCAGCCACAGCTTCCGATTTCACAGCTGAAGAATGGAAAACAATTAATGGTGAACTGATGGTACGGTATAACTCTGATTTATAATGGTAGTAATATAATCACTTTGATGTATCAATCTTCCTCTTCTTGTGCCTAAGTAGAATATAATGATTTGATTAAATAAAGAAATTATCAAAGGATTATGTTGGGTTTTTTTATTATTGTCTTGAATTAATGTCACTGAATCTTTAATGTCTATTTTAACTCTACAGATATTATTTTTTTTTTTGTAGATTACATTTTATTCAAAAAAGCATAATTGTTTTTTGTCTTAATTGCTTTTGCCCACTAAGAGCAGAGCGTTATAAGGATAGTTGTTAGGGTCGTTGTGGACTATGAAGTATATCTGCTTGACTGCTTTAAGGTGCATATATATTATTTATTTGTTCTCAGAGCTGGGTGACAGAAATGAATGAAGATGAAAAGAAACCACAGTTCCTGAGAACAGACACACTGCATGAAAGACAAGATAACTTGCCTCCTATTCGTTGTTCCAGCAGCTGTCTTCCTGCTAATCAGGTATCTCCAGTTTTCTAATGTATGTTAATTATATGTCTTTCTAAAATCAGGAAATTTTATATGTACAAACTTCTAGTCATTGAGCCTTTCTTACTACATTTATTTTGTTAATTAGAAAATAAAAACCTTTAAGTTCCTTTGCAAGAAACCAATGCTTAAACAAAAGTGCCTTCTTAGTACTAGCATGTGTCTTGTAATAATATTTTAATTCTGATCAAGATTTCATTTCTGGAGCAAATCTCCTTAGACACCCTTTTATGTTCTTTGATTCAGATTTCAAAATGGTGTTCAAGCATATGAACTAGGTTCCTTTTGGATGAAATTATGCCAGGAGATTTTTCCCCAGCTGCCAGTAGGCTTTTGTTCCATGAGACCAGAGAGGAGCTAGTCCAAAATAAATACCCTGAAACACATACAGTGTGGATGTTGGATCCTCTGCAATGTTTCGCTCTATAGCTACTTTTATATTGAGTTGCAGTGGTGTGTATGTAGCCTTTGATTCTCCTTATTTCATACCTTTAGTTTATATTCTACCTTTAGCCAGAAAGCATGCTCAACAAATCTTCAGAACTACAGAAAAAACATTTACATTATTTCCTAGATATCAGTTTTCTCATGGTTTTTTTCCATTTATTTATCTGTCTGAAATCTGTTTTGTCTGTGACCAGCTTTTCTTACTAAGACTAAATGCAGTGCTATTGGAGGGATTGGCAGAAAAGTAGATGTGGGATGGGATTTTTTTGAATTGGCAGATGTTATCAAGGAAGGCTTCAGTCTGATTCCCACTATTTTCTTTGGAATTCTGGGACACTGTTAAAATCACTGAAGGATTTCTCTTTTGGAAGTTTGGAAGTCAGAAATGTTATGAAGGGATCCTTACAGGTCATGTAATATTTCTTATTAATTGTTAATTTAACAAACTTTATTGGAATAATTATGTATTAGTAAATGCCTGCTTTGTGTTCCTGTGTTGTCAGAAACTACTTCTTATTGTCAGCTGGTACTCAGACATCAGACCAAGACATTTGGGATAACTAAGCACTCTGTGTTATGTGGTATACAAAGAGGCTGGGAATTCCAGTGTAATGCTTTATAAGTGGTTAATATTGAGACTAAGATCTGTGTTTGGTTTGTTGTTGTGTTTGGTTTTTTTTTTTAGTTAATCTGTCCTCTTTCACATTTTGCAATGTATGTTCCTCTTGACTATCCTATTTTGCTGAGATGAAGAGTGCCACTGTAGCTTTACTCTTGATTTATGTCCTTTATAACTGTTGCCTGGAACAGAAAATGGTAAATAAAATATCATGTGAACTCAGTGAATCCAGATCAGAATATAAGCATAAAATGGTATAAAGTGACTTGAAATCTAGGATACACAGTTTTAATAAAGAATATGTGTTCTCTATTCAAAGACAAAAATATTTATTCAGATTTTTTTTCTCCTACTTTAAACCATGCAACAGCCCTCAGGTCAAGTTTTTATCACTTTTGCTCTCCATATAAGGTTTAGGTGTTAGCATTATTACCCAGGAAACCTAAATACAGCTTTATGCCTTACCTGTGGTATATGATTTCCATTCCTTTTGTTCAAGCAGACAAGTGATTGTAACCTGCCATGAAAAAGAGGAGGTGACCTGAAACTGAGTTTTAGTATTCAATCTTTTTATGTAGCAGTGCAGTTATACCACTACTGGATCACTACTGAATAAAAAGAAGCTGTTTCTATAGTATACACTAAATTTTTACCTGTAATATGAAATCTCAAGAAAATCAATTAATATACTTAATTGGGTTTTATTTCTTTTCTTTCTTGCTCATAAAGCTATGTGTAACCTTGTAATTTTTACATATATTTTGCTAATCAGTTAGGACTGCAATTACTTTTTTACACTTGCATCACATAATTTTGTAATGTTGTATCAAGTTGGCATGATAAATTTCTCCTCTCTGCTAGAAAGAAATCCACAAACCGTTCCATAATTTTATGTTGTTATTTTATTGGAGACTGTTCATCTGATCTGATGCATAAAAAGTTCAGTATCTTCAATGAAGCCAATTATGGACATCCTTCTTGACCCTGAAATGGGATTGCACCAATGGGTGCAAGTTTGGTAAATGGAAGCATCTTGTTGTGTCTGTAACCAGATTTCCTAAATGTAGGCAGTTTCAATTCACTGCTAATAGCTTATAACTCTATATGGTGTTTTCTTTTTTATTGGTGGGAAGTCATGGGGAATATTTTCCAAAAATGAATAGAAGAAGAGTGAACTTTATGCAATATTTCCCTCTTTAACACACTATGGAAATTTCTGTCTTGCACTCCTATTTTCTGTTCACACTGCTCAGGTCTTTGAGGTTACATCTATACTGCAAAATAAAAGAGGACTGGAGAGACAGCTTGAATTTTTCTGTTAACCGTCCACATTGCTTAATTATTATTTTTGCTGCCTCACTTTTTCCAGGACAGAACTAAAGCATGGGTTTAAAGATACTCACTTCCAAAAGACTGTATTGATGGGATTTTAGCAGACTTAGGTTCCTTTGCCAAACACAGTTTCTTAATACTATTCAAGAAAGATTTCTGTCCTCATGCTACAGTACAGGACATGCAACACACGTTCCAAGTTTTTTGTTATAAAAATCCACTGTGATGGTATCTCTATAGCCTTCATATTATTTTGGATAGTCTGAACTAAAAAAGAATGCTGACTATCTGACACAGAATAGTAATCTTAGGCCATCACACAGGGCCCAGAGGAGAACCAAGGCCAAAATTCTGTTTCACCTGAACTGAAGCCAGTCCATGCTTTGATCTTTGGTCCAGAAATTTTTCACTCGGCTTCAAACCCTCTGGGATCCATGTATTGTCAATTCTGTCAAGAAAAAGCACAAGGGAACAATTTTAGTTCCACAGCATGCAAATGTATATTTTTCATCAAAGCCTCTTGGATGAGGTGCTCTGAAATAATTAGTGATCAAGAAATTCCTGATTCTGCTGGAGCTGCAATTTGGTTAAAATGGTCCCAAGAATATGAGACCTAGAATTTTAAAAATTGTGCAGTTCTGAGTCAACACTTCTGTCTTATTTCTTAAAAGGACATGCTGTAGTTCTCTCCCTAAATGAAAGTTGCATTAGTGTAATTACCTTAGGAGTTTTCTTTCGAGAGTTTCACTATTTTTGTGCTCATTTAAGTTAAGGATTTACGGTTTGAAAAAAAGATTTCATGTTTATTACATTATTAAGTTTGCAATATACACCAGGATGCATACATAATGATAACTCATGTTTCAGGAAGACACATTTAGGAGTTACCTCCTCCAAACATGCGTGAATCGCTAAATGTTTTTGTCATTTTGTCTAGCTTCTTGAAAGACTGGGAAGATTACGAGTAATTCTGAAGTTATGTACCTTAAAAGTTTGTGTAACCTAACATTATAGATAGTTAGAAGTGTTTACAGGAAAGGTCACATTTGCATTATATAAATTGAGGTGTTTACATCCAACTGCAGAAGTATTTCCTTCTTACAAGTGTCACCACTGGTAAAGCTAGTTTAAGAAGTTGCTGCTTATTTCTTTGGTTCAGTTTATCACATACTCGGTTGACCTGTTACAGATATTTAGGGATTCTACTGTAATCTCTATCAAATTATGTGAACCCAGATAATTGTAAATCTGCAGCTTTACAAACAATTACATTGGTCTAATTTAGTGAATGATGCATTACAAGGTAAGAGGATGGCTGAATAGCTAGGACAGAGTGTAGATGGGAATATTCTGAACTGGCTGTTCCACTGTGGAATACCTGTTTGGAACCACACCTTGCTATTAAGTATTGTTGAAGTCAACAAGCAGGGAGGGACATATCAGAAATGTAGTCTCATGACAGAGGTAGAAGAGATGCCAAAGGTGCCAGCTTTGGAAATAGGTTCTATCTGTGTAGGAGATGGGTTGTGATACAAGTCAGTCAAATCTGTTATTGGGACTGATTATTGCAGGAAGGTCCTAAGAACAGATTTTAAGTAAAGCAAACCTCAATGATGGAGCTTGTCTAAAAGCTAGAATGAGTGTAAATCATCTCGGGAATTAATTTGGAGCGTGAAATAGTCAAAATAAGTCCAGACACTATTTTGAAGTCAAACATTTGTATGTTTGTTGTGTGGGTTCCAGGGACTATAAAAATCTGTGCATTGCATTCTCTTGGGAATGGCAAGCCTAAAATGAAGTTACTGATTCAATCTCAAAGACATCACAAGGCTGGGTTTTCCAAGGACTGAGTTCTCACTTGCAGTGTTGAAAGGATGGTTTGGAAGGTGGCAGCACAAGGTACGAATTAGGAAGAGCAGTCTCCTATCTAAAAGTTTTATTCAGTGCCTCTGTGACATATGATAGGGCAATGGAGAGAAAGTGTGAGCTCCTCAGATTACAATGGTATGCAAAATACATGAAGATTTTCTCTAAAGCAAGACGAATTAAGTTTTCAAGACTATGCTGAGATTAGTCATGAATAGCGTTAGTGACTTGGTATAGGTATATGTATTGCAGAAACAAAACAAAATGAAAGGCTGTGAATTTCCGCTTAAAAAAATTGTCTTACAGGCTGGCTGTTTCTCTTTCAGAACAAAAAATTACAAAACAAACAAAGAAACAAGAAAAACATACCACGGGATTACAGTGAATGGGACAAGTATGTTAAATCCTTTATATTTAAGTTTTTATTAAATCTTATTTATTTGTTTAATAATGGAACAAGGTGGTTGTTTTTTTAAAGTATTTCCAGAAACATAGTATTAAGGTCAACATTTCAGGGAATTATAACACGTTGGAGAAATTTAGTTTTTTCATAATAAATGTTCTATTAAAATGCAAACGATGCAGTCGCGCTAATATCTGAGAACAAATTAGTCTGTACTTTTGTACAAGCAGCATGAAATATAGCAAGTCAGGAGAAAATATAAATAAGTGATTTTGTTTCAGATTTCATTTTTCCTTCTATGGAGGTATGTAAAAGCAAGGAATTACAATTAGCTTAATTTATCATTTTGAAAGCACTTCTAGGGTTATTTAACATGGGCTTATAAATTTGTTCTTCTCTGTATCTAAAGCCACAATTCTAAATTAAATCAGAACTGATGAATCCTTATTCCTGCAGTGAGCCCCATGGACCTCAAAGAATGAGCTTGAGGCAGCTGCATCAGTTTGCACAGATTCAATTGCACATAATCAGAGGTTTAGACAGTAACTGAGTATTTCCAGAGTGGATGGAGCGCTGATACAAAGAAACTCTCTGTGTCACTTAACGGCGACATATTACCTTCCCAAGTTATGTGACACATTGATGCCCCCAAATTGTTGAACATGGAGGGGGAAATGCACTACTCTGTTTTGCATGGTAGCAACTTCTCTCTAGCTCCTGGGATCTGGAATATGATGCTGTAGAATCAGAGTGAGGAGGCACAAGTTTCCAGTGTAGTAGATGGGGAGCTAAATCTAGTGCCTGGGGAGTTTGGGTAATGAAACTCTTAATGGCTCACTCTACCCCAAAACCCCTGCCTGCATAAGATGCTGTTCTTACAAACAGTTGTGCATATCAGTTATTTTCACGTGTCTATGTTTCAGAAATTGGGGTCTTCTTGCTCAAATGTGGACAAACAAAATAGTTTATCAAAATAACTTCTGCAACAATATATTCTTTCATCCCTTTTTCCTCTGTATCATTTAAAGTAATCATTTGGTGATTTTGTTTACAGTTTTAGGTACTCAATCTTTAGGTGCTTTAGCATGCTAATAATACGACAGTTTGTGAATTTTCCCATGTATTTAATGTATGTATTTATTTTGGATGGATTTATTTTGGATTATACAAATATACTGAAACAGAAGTTGTTTGAAAGAAATTTTCCAGTTTGAAGCACATCATGTTTTCAAAACATTTTGAGGATAATTTTAAAACCTTCAAGTAATTGTTTAGGCAATTTCTGAACAAAATGTTTCACTTCATATTTTAAAAACACTTACTTTGAAATGTGGTTAATTTATAATAAAAAGGTAAAGCTAAGCTAACAAAAGATCAAAATCAAAATGGAGAGCAATCAATCTTACTGTAAAGGTTTTTAATTGGATAAATTTTGAAAATTGTGCCTCTATTTCAGATAGAAATTATTCATATTGTCAAGATTATTGTGGAAAGCAAAGGCTTTTTTTCATTAAGTCCTAAACAGAAAAGCAGTGAGTGTAGTGTTTCTAGATAGCGTAGGAATTGGTTATTACTGTATTTGTTTTATAGGACTATGGCAGCAATATTTATTTGATATAAATTCCTAAACACTCTTTTCAAAACCTGCTTCACGATGGCCTTGGAAGTGTCTGAAACTATTTTGAAATTACTCTCATGTTTACAGTATTAATTGCTTTGAAGCTGTTTCTTAGGTGTTTTGGCAAAGTTTAATAGACATGTTTGATAGGGCTGGGATTGAGCCTGATGATACTGTTTCTTAAATTTTACCTGTCTTTTTTGGGGGGATGGTGAGGAGGTGAGACAGACATTTTCTTCGTTTGATTTGTTTGATTTTAACCAGAAGGGAGGAGGAAGAGTGGAGGTAATGCATAAGCAGGAGACACATGAAAAAACCTACAACACAAGAAAAGGAGATAAGACTAAACATCTTTTCCCTAACTAGTCATGGATAATTGAACACAGCCTTTATCTCTCTTTTCCTTTGGTTTTTAATGAAAGTATAGTATGCCTTTCTATTAGTAGAGGAGTCCTGCTATGCAGCATTTTTGAATTTTTTTTTTTCTTTTTTTATTAATTTAAGGTTTGATGTGGAAAAGGAGTGTTCTAAAATTGATGAAGGCTGTGAAGAAAATAACTCAAAAGCAAGATTCTTTAGTAGGCCAAGTCTACCTATAATCGAAAAGAAAATAGACACAACTGGTAATGTCTTAGAATCATATAATTTTTCTTTAGTTGTCATACTGTGTTTTAGAGCGTGAATACAAATAGAAGCAGCACATTACAGAGTTAAAAGTATCTTTACCTATTTTTCAGTCCCTAGAGATGGTAAAAGTTGTTAGGTCAACTGAGCCTGAAGCCATATTTGAAAAAAATCTAGTCTTGGTGTTAATAATCAATTAAAACATTTATGTTGTGTTGAGAGCGCTAGGTAAAGAAGTAAAGCATACTTGTGCTATTATAAAGCAATGGTAGAAGTTAGCCAGCCACTTTCATCTTGCATTATGAATTTTATGCCTATTAGAAGAATTTACGTTTTTATTATAGAAAATAAAATACAAATTTATCTTTTAGTGAGCCATGTTCTTTTAAAAAATAATATACAAATTATGGCAGTCAGAGTATTTTAGCTGACAGTGTTTTGATTGCATCAGTGCAAGCTGTCAGTTGGTATGTATAAATACTTTTTTCTAGGAATGACAATGAAAGAGAAGGTTTTTATTGCTACTCGTGAAAAAGAAAAGGGCAATGAAGCCTTTGCCGTTGGTGATTATGTGGAAGCAGTGTCTTATTACACTCGGTGAGTAAACAATATTGTGGTATTTTATTTTGATGACTTGTGAATATTATTTTTAGAGCAATGCAATTAAAGCAACTTATTGAAGCAACTAGTGACAATTAGATTATTTTCAAAAGGACAAAAAGATTTGACAGAAGAGTACTTAAACCACTTGCAGTGTGGTATTAATTTTTATTTATCAGGAATAGAAGCAGATAGTGATGGGATGCAATCTGCAGGTGTCAAACTTTTTCAGATTTTTCAAAACCATCGAGATTCAAGGGCAAGTTTACAAAAATAAAATGATAAGCAGTATCAGTAGGATAGTCTCATTTGTTAATAAGGAAGATTAATTTAATGACCTCCTACTAGCAGAAAGAAAAATCATTGTGTGCAGCTTCATGATAACACTGTCTGTGATTAGTAGCAGTCCAGAAAAAAGGTATAGAAACACAGGATTAAAAAACAGAGTCTTACAGGTTGCTTGGCTTATTTAGTGCACAGTGGACTAAATCAGACTTTGTCTTTATTTATATAAATAGAGGTGGTTGTTACACGACCTCTGTTGTATTTGTTTCAAAAGTAGAAAAGTTCAAGGTGAATGGAATCGAGCATGACAAGAAGAGAATGACAGTGTTTCACTTAAGGTATTTGAATGGTGCTTTGGGAGAACTAAATTTTTTTCTCTACCGTTTTCACAGTGTTCAAACATGATGCCATTTATGCAAACCAGGATTTTTGTGGGACCAACATTTGTTTCTTATTTGCAGATTACTCATCTTGAGACACTGGAGGTCTGACTTGCAAAAGAGCTGGTGCTCCCACATTAAACTAACGTTAAAGAAAAGTCAATTTTGTGTTTAACTCTGTGCTTTGAAATGATAAGGACTTTAAAAACACACAAGCCTTTAGAAGTGTCAAAGTTGTCACTTAGAAATTGAGAGCATTTGGGGATCTTGGTGTATTAATTGCCAGTGTAAACCGAGTGTAATGATACGGCACTACTGTGAGACGAAGTGTTAAGATAATTCATGGGCTATGATATTATAGTGGGATAGCCTCGAAAAACATTTATGAGGAAGTTAATGTGTCTGTGCTCACTGCAGACAAGTATGGAGAAAATAATGAATAAATAAATTGTGTGCAGCAGCAATAAAATAAATATCAAACGGATTTATGTTTAGGAAGCACCATTCACACTGTCACAGAAGGAGGCAGGGTTTTGTAGAACAGCTTGTGAAAATTTACCTGGAGATTGTTGATGTATATATGTGCACAAAGGTATTTATATTCATAGTGCACAGGCTGTTTAAACTGAGGCATTTGTGTATTTTTTTTTTGTTATTGACTTGCAGCCTTAACATCTTTCTTGTTTGTTTTTTTTTAATACATGAACATGAATATAAAAAACATCCCTAGCTGTATTTCGTATACAATAAATAAAATACAAATCCATAATACAAAAATAAGTAAAAATACCTGCTTTTGGGACACAAATAGGGTATTAATTAATAAGGATCAGTAGAATCCTTCCTAATGGAGAGTCTTTCCATATTGAACCTCCATGGGGCATTGTACACCTTCTCTAATATATATCTTGGTGACACTGCATGCTGTTCTAATTGGGCAATTTGCTAATACCATCTGAAAATTCCTATTTTCTTACAGTTAGAAATATTTAAATAAAACATATTTTGGAGTGAATTGATAATAGTCTGAAGGGGCTATTTGTATATGGCTAAAAAGGGGGAAAAATAGGGTTCTATATAAAAATAATTAGGGTATAGTTATTCATTCTGTTTGTCTTGTTGTGAGGCCTACTATTCTAAGCTGAATGTAGAGAGTACTTTCTGTTTTACAAAAAACCTTAAACCCCTCTCTCATTTCTAAAGAGATTCAAAACTTGCAGAGAACGTGTTCTGACATAGTTCTGTTATGCTGATGTGGTTTTAAAATAAGTGGATCTTGCCTATTTTTCTGCATACCTCTGGTGAAATCACTGTGCTTAGTCATTTCAGCTATACTGCAGAATCATAGAATAATTCGGGTTGGAAGCAATCTCTGAATGATATTTTCTGCAAGCCATCTCTCAAAGCAGGGCCAAGTTAGATCAGGTTACTCAGGGCTTCGTTACGTTTTTAATATCTCCAAGGATGCAGATTTAATGACCTCTCTGGGCAGCCTGTTGCAGTGTTTGATTACCCTTACAGTAAATACTTTTTCCTAAAACATCATCAGAATTTCCCTTTTTGCAACTTGTGTCTGTTGCCTTTTGTCCTATCAGTGTATACTTCTGAGAAAGATGTGGCTTGGTCTTCTCCATACCTTCCCATTAAGTAATTGAAAACAGCTACAGTGTTCAGCCTTCACTTCTGGCTGAACAAACCTGGTTATCTTAGACCCTCCTCGTAAGTACCACATGTACTCCAGCCCCTTAAATATCCTGGTGACAGACTGGACTCGCTCCAGCCTGTTGGTGCCTTTTGTGTACAGGAGAGCCCCAGACCAAGCACAAGTACTCCACCTGTTGTCTCATAGGTGCTGAAGAGAGGGGAAGAATCACTTCTGTCAAGCTCCTGGCTATGTTCTTGCTAATATGATCCAGTACGTGGTATGCCTTCTTTGCCTTGAGAGCACACTGTTAACTCCTGTTCGATTTGTTGTCCACCCTGGGTCCTATCCTGCAAAGCTGCTTTCTAGCTAGTTGGCACCCAGCCTGTACTGTTGCTGGAGTTATTGTGTTTCAGGCACGGCATTTTGTGCTTTCCTTTTTTGAACTTCCCGAGAAGTGTCTGCCAGCCCATTCCTCTGCTCTGTTAAGGTCCCTTTGACTAGAGTTCTGCTGTTCAGTGTGTTATTGACTGTTCCCCTCAGCATTGTATCATTGATGAACTTCCTGGGGGTGCCTTCTGTTCCATCTTATACCCCCCCCCCGATAAAAATGTTAAAAACTGTTGATCTCAAAGGGAGGCCACAAGTAAATGGTCACCAGTTGGACTTTGTATGGCTCAATTCTTTGAGCCCAGCAGTTCAATCCATTTTCTATCTGCCTTACTGTCCACTTAGCTAGTCCATTTTTTACCTATTTGGCTGTAAGAATACTTTGCTACAGTCAAGGTAAGCAACATCCTCTGTTCTTACTTCCTTTACTGAGCCACTCAGCAAAGCAAACTATCAGGTTGGTCTTGGCATGATTTGCCTTTGGTACATCGATGCTAGCTGTTGCCAGTCACCTTCTTATCATTCATATGCCTGGACAGGAATTCAGGAAGACTTGCTTCATAATCTTTCTGAGAAAGACTGACCAGCCTGTAGTTTCCCAGGTCCTCCACCTTGCTGTTCTTGAAGAAGGGTGCGACATTAGCCTTTACCAGTCACCGGGAACCTCTCCCAATCACCATGACTTTTCAAAGATGATATAGAGCAGTCTTGTAGTGGCATTGGCCAGCTTCCTGAACACACCATCTGAAACTTGTGTATATCCTATTTTCTTCAGCGTTTTCCAGCTTTATCTTCCTCTATTGTGGGTACTGCTTCACTCCTATATAATCTGCCTCTAGACTTGGGGACCTGGGAATCTTGAAGGCAAACCTTACCAATGAAGACTGAGGCAAAGAAGCCACTGAGTACCTCAAACTTCCATGTCCTTTGTCACTAGGTCCTCTGCTGCATTGACCAATGGGCCCACAGTTTCCTTAATCTTCGTTTTGCTGCTGATAGACCTTTAAAAAAACAACCAAAAAAATAACTTTTCTTATTGCTCCTCACATCCCTTTTCTAGTTTCAACTTAAGCTGAGCTTCCGCTTTCTTAATTCCATCGCTTGCACTTAGCTAGTGTCTCTATATTCCTACTGGGTAGGCTGTCACCATTGCCATCTCCTGTGTATCTAATTTTTGTGTTTTGGCTCAGTCAAGAGTTCTCTGTTCATCCCTACTATGCTTGCTTAACTTCCTGCATATTGGAAAGGATCCTTCTTGTGCTTTGAGGCAGCTTGAAGATCAACCAGCTCTCCTGGCATGCTTTGCCCTACAGGGAATTCTCCCTGTAATCCTGCCGAGCAGATTCCTGAACAGGCCAAAATCTTGCCTTCTAAAGTCCAGGGCTATAATTCTAGTGTTCATCTTGCTCATTTCTCTTAGAATCTTAAACTTTTATCATCTCATGGTTGCTGTAGCCAAAGCTTTCATCAACTTTTGCGTTTCCAAGCAGTTCTTGATTGTGAGTAACAATTCCAGCAGAGAATTCCCCCTTGTCACCCTGTTGATTGTGTCACGAAGTTGTCTTCAATATGCTCCAGAAATCTCATAGATTTCTTGTGCCTTGTCATTTTCCCCTTCCAGCAGATACCAGGGTGGTTCAGGTCTCCCATGGGAACCACAGCCTGTCTGTAACTGGGAGGCTTCCTCTACTCGTCTGAAGAAGACTTCATCTGCTGGCTCTTCATCAGGCAGTCTGAAGCAGGTGCTTACCATGATGTCACCATGTCATTGAGACTTTTTATTCTTACTCATCAGCTCTCTTGATGGGCTTCTCAGTCTCTTGCCTGTTCCAAGACAAACCTTCACACATTTAATCACTGCTTAGATTAGAATGCATGTCCTCCTCCTTACCTTCCTAGTCTTCCTGAAAAGCCTGCATGCATCCATCACAGCATTTCAGCCATACAGATTATCCCATTGCATCTCTGTTATCCCACTGAGATGATAGCTGCACAGACCTTCTAGTCTTCTTTTTTGTTTCCCATGCTTTGGCATTTGTACACAAGCACTTGAGATTGTCCTTCAGTCATGTTTTTTTCACAAGGAAAGTGTGAGAGTCTCCTCCAGTATGCTGTCCCCCTGGCACTTCCCTGTTGCCCCCTCTTCCCAGTGAACATAGAGTCCTTCTTGCTAGGTTAGCCAGAGTGTTGGCAAAGATTGTCTTACACCACTTTGTCATATGTATCCCAGTTGTCCTTATTCCTCAGAGGTGATCCTGTTAAAGGAACTAAAGCCCTGCCTACAATACCAGCCACACAGCCAGACGTTGACCTGGATGATTCAACCACTGCTACCTGAGTCTTTCCCTTTTACAAATAAGATCAAGAAGCCCACGTGCCCCCCCGCCTCCCCCCCACCCCCAGTTCTTCATCATAGCCTCCAGAGCTCTGCAGTTATTCTTGATATTCTCAAAGGTGTCATTTGTCAGTTTCATTTGAGTCTACATGGATGGCAGCAAGAATTAATAGTTTAAGAGACAGGTGAGCCATGGCATCTTCTCTGCAACATCTCGGATCTAAACCCTGGCAAGCAACAGACCTCTGAAGATGGTAAATCTAGTTGGTGGGTGGCTGCCTCTGCTCTTGCAGGAAGGAGTTTCTAACCACTATCGTGGTTAGAATATCAGTATTAATATTGTTATAATACTGTTTTCAGCTTTCAATAGTGAAGTGTTTCTACATTCAGGTTTTCTAACTATGAGCCTACCTGGTCAATACTCCCTTTTTTCAGGAGTATATCAGTAATACCCACTGCAGCTGCATATAATAACAAAGCTCAAGCAGAAATCAAACTTCAGGACTGGGACAGTGCTTTGCAGGATTGTGAGAAGGTACTAGATATGGAACCTGGCAACATAAAAGGTAAAATAGAGCATAAACTTGACCTTCTATGTATTATTTTATTTCTAGCAAATAAAATGGTACCTATCCATTCATTTTGTTAGTTGACTTCAGTAAGCTATAGATCAAGTGCGAATATAAAGAAGGAAGCAGAGTAGCTCCCCAAAGTAATTTTAACAGTATTTTCAGGGTCAGGGAAGTTTTATGCAGTATGGTAATTGGTAATAATAATGGTAATCCGTAATGGATAATCTTATGCAGTAGCATGGGGCTAACTCTTGGTTTTCGTATGATGACTATGAGTCCTCTTGTGTTTGTGCAGAGCATTGTTTCCATAATACCCACAATGAAATATTTAATTACCTTAAAAGTGATGTGAAAACAATGAAAGTTGCTCATTTAATCCTTTCTGGGGGCAAGGGCTTGAATGTAGCTAACTATATTTGCATGGGAGGAGAGGCAAAATTGGAAAAATACAAGAAGATGCTTCACAATTCATGATTGCTATCTCAAAAGGTGTCATGTGAAATTGCATCTTTGAAACTGATCAAGAGAACAGTTATTACCAATACAGTCATTATGAAGTAAAAGCAGAATTTTAAAATCTGTTTTATACTTAATATGTCTAGAAAAAAATAGTGTATTGTTATCCTCTTCATGCTTTAAATACATAAATAATACGCTCTGTTCCTTTCTAGCTCTGATGCGCCGTGCCACTGTACACAATCAGCTGCAGAATTACCAAGCAGCTATAGAGGATCTGAACAAAGTACTATGTGTTGAACCAGAAAATGCTATAGCTAAGGTAAACAGAAATGAGTTGAATATGACTAGAAAAAGGTTGTATGCAGTTGTAGCATTGAGTGAGTACAGTTTATATTGTTTGATTTGAATACAAGTTTTAAGGACACACTTGGTCTACTGTGTCAGTGATCAGTTTTGCAAGACCACATAGGTGCCTGTGGTGGAACTTAGGTACTTGAATGTGATGAGATCTTCTTTTCACTACTTAACTGTGAGAACCTGTAGGCACTCGTATTCTCTATTAACATAATTTTGGTGCCTAAAAGTTTGCTGCTGAACATGCTTACAGTATTAGTGTCTTAGCTGTTAGTTCCAAGTTATTTGGAAATTTTTCTCAAAAAGAGCCATTGGGATAGGTGTATTTAAGTTTGACACATAATTCACAAGAAAAATTCAAAAGAGATGCCAAACTTTTATAGTTGTAGTGACCAAAAAGGAGAGGACCTGGGTTCTGTCCTTGTTTCACCATGATGTTATAAATCCTCATTTCTCACCTCCAGGTCAGAATGAAAAACCTTTCATACCTTCTGATGAATCTATACCCTTCTTAGCCAATTTTGGAAGCTGGATGCTTTCTTTGTAAACTCAAGGTCAGGGTATGGTCCTTGTACTACTCTTACTTCAGCTATTTAGGAGAGGATTGGTCTGTGTCATCTCACTGGTATCTTCTTAGGGGAGTTTTCTGGGTTAGAACCCAGTCCTTGCATTTGGACTCTACGTGTCCCGAGAATCTTCAGTACTAGGCAGTTCTGATACTAAAGTGCTCTTTTCCTGTTAATTAGGAGTCCATCATACTGCTACCCTCCCATTTTTTTTATGTGTCACTTTTGGATGCTGTGCAATTGCCTCATCCTCTGAATTATGTTCACCTCTTATTGCTGGCATATTTTCAGCAGCTAGCAGTTTGCTGATGGCTAATTCTTTCTGTGGACTTATTTGATCATTGCCATTGCTTGCACCAGTGAGAGAAGTCCAAGCCTGTTATGTCAAATTCACCATGTACAGCATTCATTCCTTTTAGGGTGTTCTTGGAGCTAAATTCCAGTCCAGAATAGTTCCCGAGTTTCACATCGACGAAGGAATTAACCTGCCTGCTTCCCCCCTGCCCCTTTCTTTCTTTTTAAACACCTGTCTCTAGATTTGAGTCCTAAAAGAGCTTTTGGGTTTTTTGTCTGTTTACAAGACTGAACCACTGAATAGCTTGTGATTCTGTGTTGACAAACTCCACAACAGTCTTTGTGAAAAGATTATCAAATATGCTGTGCTGAGATTTCTTACAGTACCAGACATAAGATGCTTAACTCATTTTGAGTACAGTCTTCCAGAGATCCAAATACATTAGTAGCTTTGCTGAGCAATGCTACTGTAGCTGAAAGCAGATGTCTGTACTTTGTCCTTATCCGTGCCAGCTATTATGCCTTGGCTGAGACATCTAGAAATGACAGAGGGCTTGGCAGGGCATTTTTTGAGTTGCTTTTTGCTTGGAGGATCCTCAAAACACTCTTGAGCTAAATATGAATGTATGGTACACATGCAGAGTGAATGTTTATGTGCAGCATCACTATAATAAAGGTAAATTGCTTGTCAGTAACTGGAATTCTTCAAGGTACTTTGTCTATATGCATCTTTGCTTGTTCCTGTCATTGTTTTATCTTTTTTTTTTTTTGTGGAAGTGAGTACTGAAATGGCACTTCCTTGAACAGCATTGAATTAAATTCAGAGTAGTGCATAATGTTGGGTGTGTCTTACTCTGCCCTGAAAGTATAAGGTGCAGTTGGAGCATTTTTTTTGAGTAATCAGAAAATGTTCATGGAATGAGAGGCTGTTTGATCATCTAATTTGCAGTTCTTACAAGAGGAGCAAACCTTTTCATTATTCAACAGTGTCCTTCCACTACACTGCTAAGAAATTGTTGTCTCTTTTGATTCTAGTTCTATCAGTTACATACCTCCATCAGACACCAAATTCTTCATAGCGTAAATTTTGATAAACTAATTTTAGGCTCTTCAGAGATTCTGGAAAGAGCCTGTTTTCCACATGGCTCTTCTGAGTAGACCATGCCAGATATCCCAATAATACAATCTACTTTTTTTCCCTTTAAATTTAACTTCTTTTTGTTTAAGCAGTTCATTCAAGAAAAGTACTTATTTATTTGTGTGATATCTTCTGAGGTTCTAAGAGAGCGAAATTGAGTGTTTTGATACTGACTGCTGGAAAAAGTCACATTTATTTTCTGTTTTTGTATTGGTAACATTTATCTCAAGAGTTCGTCAGCATCTCATGTAGATTATTTAACAGAATGTATTTTCTGTATGTAAATTACAATTTATATACCTATATAAAAAAGCTTCTGCTATTGTTGTTTTTTCTCTATTGCAGAAAAATCTGCTAGAGATTGAAAAGAAACTGAAAGGTTTAATGCCTGTATCTGAGACTCAAGGCAAAGGAAAAAGAATACTTATTCAAGATATAGAGGATTCAGAAGGTGATGAAGAAAGAGGGGAAAATACAGAAGAACGTGAAAGAAGCAGTGGAGATAAAAGTAATGTCATGTCATTTCCTATTTAATTTTAACCAGAGGAGAAAATCATTGCCTTTGATATTGCAATGTTTATTTACACAATTCATCTATATTTGCTTGCAAACAATTTTGCCTGTTTGAAGACTAAAATGACATTCACTACTTAAAGTTGATCTGAGCGTGAAATCTAGAATCCAGTTTTATTACACATCTTTGGAATTATTTCTATTAAGGGTACAACAGAGATGGAAAATGTTGCTATAAATCACCTACTTTCCTGTGTAATTTTGTACCTATCCTTTGATGTGGACCCAGTTGGGAATTTCTTCAGGTGTTAGAGAACATTTTGTGTTCCTTAGCTCTTTGTTTTGCACAGCTCTTCTGCCTTCCCACCGTCACATTTTTCTTCTGCATTTTTCCTCCCTTGATTAGATCAAAGGGTGTAAAAATGATCAAGTGGCATGTAACTTGATTTTTTTGGTTGTTTGTTTTGAAAACTATCAATCTTTTTTTGGTTTTTAATATTAGGGTTCATCTGTGTGCTCCGAAAGTGTATATTAGACGTAAACAACATGTAAGTCTTGTACTGTACGTAGTTTACAAGCAGTTGAAGTGCAGCTCCCATTCCTGGATTAGTGTGTGACTAACTGCAAGACTGCTGAGATGAAACTACCGGCATAATCAGAATACATGACTTGTAGGAGGAAGTGAGGCAGCAGGGGCTACTGAGGCCTGCACTGACAGGTTGCTTTTAAGTTCAGCTGCCTGTCTGGGTTCCAACCTGCAACAGAGTAACATCCCTGGGTTGATTTCCACCCTTTCTCTTTTCTGTTGGTTCTTTAAGGTAATGTGGCATGAAAACTGTGGCTTTTTTGTTTTCCATGGCCTACGTAGCTCTTTATCTTGAAATTAAATCAGTCTGTGGGTTTTCCAACTTAACTGTGAATATTAGACTGTATATGTGTGATTTAATAATGCATTATTTGCACACAAATTTAAGGAAAATACATTTTTCAAAATCAGTAGGTATCCACTAAGTCTGTCTTGGCTAAAACCTGGGAAGAAAGGATGGCTCATGTCCCTAGCCTTAAATATTCGTTAATTTGGGGTTGCTTTCCATTGGAAGCATTCAGATGACTAAGTGCCTTCTAGGTCCATAGGAAAACTCCCATTCCGTTGATGAAAGGTTAGGCTTTTAAACATAGGGAAGATTGTCAACTGACGTCAGTCACATGTGTTCATGTGATATACATAAGTAGTTTTGAGATTTAGGAGGCAAGCATCTTCATAGATTAATCTGTGTTTTAAAGTACAACTGGAAACAAATACGAAGTCAGTTCAGTTATTGAATAAATCTGATATGTTCTGTAAACCTAACAGCAGTAAGTAGACTAAGCATCTTGTACGTCTTCTCTATACATCTAGTAACGTAGTCGCAGTCAGTCCAGTAGGCCATGCAGTCCAGTCATGTAGTTACATTTATTTCACATTCTGGTTCGCGAGCCTTATGCATTCCTACTAAACTTATAATTTAGAGATTGGAAGAAAAACAACAGAATACTTTTTGTTTTCTTTAGTTCTGAAAGATGATTTCTCATCTTTGAACAAAACAGTCTAACTAAAGACTGTAGTGTCTGTTCATCTTTTACGTATCTGAAAGCAAATGTAAATAAAATCCTTTTTGTACAATAGAAATGGAAAATTGCTTACATCCTAGAAACTGTAAAAACTTGTATTCGGGCACTGTAAAAACTAAAAATCATTTATGTACTTGACAAAGTGCCTGATATTTTGACATTTTTATAAAAGTCATAATATCAAGTGATAAATATGGTTTAAAGATAAATAAAATACATATTTTAAATAGCCCCTTTTAATTCATAAAAATTTGCTGAATTATGTGGTATTTACTTTTTCTATTACAATAATTTAAAAAAAAAAAGTAGTAACCAGTTCCGAAGTTTAGTAAATATTTATTTGTAAAAAGGAAAGTGCATTTAAACAAATAAAGTCTGTTAGCTTTAAAATTATTATTTCTCAACCTGTTACAAAGTTGGCAACAGATCTCACTTTAAAAGATGTACTTTGAGCATATAGAAGAAACCTCTTAACAGACAAAGCTATGTATTGTAAGCTGACCATAGGAAAAAATGTTGCATAGAGAGTGTTTTCTTTGTGCATGGTTTATTTATTACACTTTAGAGGTGAAGAAAATATTATTCTTCTGGATGAGACCTTTTTCCCAATTCAGGATATGGATTTTTTTTAATTTTTGTATGTGTCCTCCTGTTTTGTACACCTTGAGATTGCTGGTTTGGTATACTGACACGTGATACTGATGCATCAGAGCACCTCTTTTTCCTTTGTACTAAATCCTTCATTTGACTTCTAGTTTCACTACCTATGTAGTATTAAGTTTACCTGATGCCACAGCAGTTGGCTACAGAGAATTATTTTGTGATCACACACCCTCTCCAACACCACCTCCCCCCCCGCCCAGTCTATTTTCTACTTGATAGCACCAAATTAAGGTCTTTGTCATTGAACATGACAGTACAGTGATTTGGAGCCATTCTTAGACTGAACAGCATCTCCTTGTATCAGTCCACTATCTTGTGACTTTTTCTTTCACTAGATGGTCCTTTTTTTCGGAATGTTGCTAGGAGCTGAATAGGTACAAAAACTCTCTCTGCATCCTTGATGAATTATGTATTGTGTTCTCAATTGGTCTTGACCATGTATCATGATTCTCTGAAGCAATGGGCTTTCTGCCCTTAAATAGATGAAGCTGTCATCATAATGACTGATGTACAGCTTTCCAAAACAAATAGGTGTTCATAACACTTTTTGAATTTCTCTTGTTGATTTTTCTAAATGTGTTTTATGAAATGGGCGTTTTCAAATAAAACTGGATTCTTTGTCTTTACATTTTTACTTTTTCTTGAATTATTCCATGTGGAATAATAAAATGTTTATTTGATATTACAGATAATTCTTCAACATATGTGTTAATTTTTCATGGCTTTTCACAGAGAACAGTGAGTAAGGTCTTAGATTTGTATTTTGAAGTTTCTGATTTGTTGAGAAGCAAAGTTTATTGAGTAGGATACAATTAGAGT